ATCAAGTATAGTCATTGGATTGAAATCTGCTAATGTTTAAACTTACATCTTGGAATGTGGGAGGACTTAATGTTCCCCATAAAAGACGCAAGATTTTTCATTACTTAAGACATTTCAATAATGACATTACATGTTTACAAGAGACTCATATTGTGGCTAAAGATCAAAAATTATTATTGAACTCCAAGCTTGGAGATTTGTTTGTTGCATCTGCCTTAAAAAAAAGAGCTGGGGTTGCAATATATGTTAAAAGACACCTTTCACCTATTTTAAAAGAAGTTGATAAAGAAGGAAGATTTTTATTTGTGGAAATAACTCTAAATGGAAGAAAGTGTTTAATAGTAGGGGTTTATGCCCCTAATCAACTCTCATCTCAAAAACAATTCTACAGACAACTACATCAGAAAATTGTGGCTATGGATTATAATTCTTTGATTGTTATGGGGGACTGGAATGGGGTACTTGATACGTTAAAAGATAAAAAAACAACTTCGAAGGATGTGACCCTTTCCAGGCTCCCCAAGTCTTTTTTTGCAATGACGGAAGACTTGGAGTTGGTGGATGTTTGGAGATCACAACACATGAACGAACGTGATTTTACCTTTTTCTCTCACAGACATGAGTCTTTTTCAAGGATTGACTTTGTTTTGACATCGACTGACTTGCTTACTGATTGTAACAAAACTAAAATTTTTCCCAGAACTTTGACTGATCATAGTATGGTGTGGATGGAGATTGGCCAACAAAGAAAAAGGAAATCTTGGAGAATAAATGAAAATTTGTTTAACTATGAGGATAAGGTTAAAGCTTTGAAGGAACGTATGGAAGAGTTTTTTCAACTTAACCTGAATAGAGAAACTCCTATAAATATTGTCTGGGATGCTAGTAAAGCCTATCTGAGGGGTATATTAATTGCTATGAACAATGCGCATAAACGTAAGCAAATACAGATCAGATTAAATATGGAAAAAGAAATTGGGATCAAAGAAAAATTATTACTGCAACGACCAACAGATACTAACTTAAAAGCTTCTATTAAAATGCTTAAAGATCAATTTAACTTGCTAATTGCGGATCAGGTGGCCACCAACTTGAAGTACATTAAACATAACACATTTGCTAATGCAAACAAACCTGGGAGATGGTTGGCCTACCAATTACGTAAGAGACAAAAGGCTAGACTGATATCTAAAATCTTGGTCAAGGATCGTGAGATTTATCAACAAGAACTGATTAAAAAGGCATTCACTGAATTTTCTTCGCATTTATATTCCTCAGAGACTATAAAAAGTGAAAATATTGACAAATATTTACAATCTGCATCTATATATAAACTTATATTGGATCAACAGAAACTTATGAATGAAGAGATTACTACAGATGAAATTCTAAATGCAATTAAACAATTGAAAGCTGGTAAAGCCCCTGGCACAGATGGTTTGACAGCAATTTATTACAAATCATTGTCAGCTGTAATGTTACAACCCTTAAAAACATTATTTAATAGAATTATGTTGGGAGAACAAATACCACAGTCT